GAAATCAATTCACCTTGATAAAGGAGAACCCTGGCAAGGATAATCTAAAATTATAAAATCCAAAGTAATTTCTACTTGAGTTGAGGCAGAGAAAAAAAAATGTGTTTTTGCTAAACTAATGATCTACATTTAGGTATATATTATTACAAGGCAAATGCCAACAGGTGGTGGATCAATCCCATTCAGAAAGAACAAAGAAAAACCCCACTGAAAATAATTCATAACGGTGAATAATCTCTATTTGCTAATACATTCTTTGTTGAAAAAAAATATCAGCCCTCTAAAACTTATTTTGAAACAATGACTTCAGGTTATTTTTAGACTTGAGTTAAAGATGCACGAGATGACTGTGTTGCCAGGCCAAGGCAAAAATCAGAGAAAAGCTAGGACTCAAACTTGCTACTTCCTCTCTTCTCTTTCCCACTGCTGCTTCTTTGCCTGGTACTTCAGTCCTCAGACATCATGTTTGCCAGCCACTTTTCCACGTTAAAAACTCAGAACTTCCATTGATCTATAAGCACATCAGTCAAATCCTCAGCTACACCATTATAAGCCTTTTGTTTTTTCTTTTTTTTTTTAAGATTTTATTTATTTGACAGAGAGAGAGAGACAGTGAGAGAGGGAACACAAGCAGGGGGAGTGGAAGAGGGAGAAGCAGGCTTCCTGCAGAGCAGGGAGCCCGATGTGGGGCTCGATCCCAGGACCCTGGGACCATGACCTGAGCTGAAGGCAGACGCTTAACCAACTGAACCACCCAGGCGCCCCACCCTTTTGTTTTATCAAAGAGGGAAGTAAAGTAACATAATGCCCTTCGAATGCCAAGCCCTTGTGAACAAATACCACGTCATTCGATGCTGCTTATTACCCTCTGATGGATGCCCCACGTCGCAGATGAGACGGGAGAACGGGTCATCCAGCATCTGATCTGTGGCGAGCGCTCTGCTGTGGGTAACGTCAGGGAGAAGGAATGCTAAACACTTCACCATGGACACTGTGGCAGCATGGTGGTCAGGGCCCAGGACGTTGACCAAAACTGGCCAACTTGGTGCTACTGCCTGGGGTTGGGGTTTGCAGCACGAGGCACAAAGATGAAAGGAGTGTAGACATCTTTTTTTTTTTTAAGATTTATTTATTTATTTGAGAGAGCGAGAATGAGAGAGAGAGTACATGAGGGGGGGGAGGGTCAAAGGGAGAAGTAGGCTCCTCGCCGAGCAGGGAGCCCGATGCGAGACTCGATCCCGGGACTCCGGGATCATGACCTGAGCCGAAGGCAGTCGCTTAACCAACTGAGCCACCCAGGCGCCCGGAGTGTAGACATCTTTTGCCACAGTAGCCGCAGAAGCCATGTGCCTGGTGGTCAACAGGACCTCCTGGCCACAATGTCCTGCTGAAGAAGGCTGTTCTTCCTTCATGAGCCTTTGGTTTTCAGCCAGATTGCCGAATCTGATTCTTGAGGTCCTGTCAGTTCTGGAGACCAGAGGTATTTCTTCAGTAAATTCCAGTTTGGGTTGATTGAGCTGGAGCTGGTGCAGTTCTCACAACCAGAAAGCCTGACCCGTCTCTGAGGAAACAGACTCCAGGTCTTGTCCAGGGACCCCAGCTAGCAAGTGGCAATGTTCTGGCTGAGAAACTTGTGCTGTTTCCTTGATTCCCTGCTTCCCAAAGAACTTGAAAGAACCCAAGAAAAAGGGGGAGCATGGTGTACAGATGAAAGCAGGGCTTGGAGACCAGCAGCTATCTGAACACTTACCCCAAACCCACATTCAGTAACACACCCCTAAATAAGCGGGCTCTGCTCTATGCCAGGGACTCTGCTATGTTCAAATATTATCTCAGTTGATCCACACAACAATATGATATGGTGGACATTATTTTCTCCATTGTTTGGGTGGAAAAACAGGCTCACAGAGGTTTGTCCACATTTATATTATAGTGTTAGTATTGAACTTGGGTCTCCAGACAAGGAGGCTGGAACTCATTCATTAAGCCATAGCTACCTCGCTATGAAATTATTTAATCAATCAATATTTCCCCACTGCCAATTTTCCATTAACCCCATTGTGGCCTCAGCACCACCTCATCAATGTGTTCTCGCTGGCATGCTTCCTTGAGTATGGTTTTACACTTGTGTCCCAAAGTATGTCATCTGTCTCTGTTCCTTTAGACTGGGAACCTCCAGAGCACAGGACCAGGCCTCCCCACTGAGGATATTCCTTCCTGCATACACATCTCTGAAATCCCTGTGGGGCTCCACCAGGACAGGACTCGGGCTGGGGTGCATTGACTGGGGTGCATAGAGAGGAGAGGACTGTATCTTGCTACCGTGCTTACGACCGGTTGGGAGTCTGGACTCATTTTCTGTTCAGTGCTGCCTGTCTCCACCTCCCCTACAGCTTCAAGGGAAATCATGCCTTTGCTTACTGGACTGTACAATGGAGCTGAAGATCCTCGTTGGCAGCATGAAGACCAGATGTGTTGCGGTCTTTTGAGACAGAGCCCTTGCCCAGGACCTGGCTCATGCCAGCCAATGAATACTTTGTCATTTGTGTTTTGGAATTAAGAAAACTGAGTTCGGCATGTTTCCTACCACCACAAGGAGCAGTGAATTGAATTGGTGCCATTGTAAGCTTGATTGTTGTTGCATAGATAAAACCCTCATTAAGTCCCTCAAGAGAAGAAAAGAATTTTATTTTGAAGAGAGAGGAGTGGGGGGGGGTGCTTCTTGCTTGTCAGCAGTTACAACAACAGAACAGTAAATGGAGGAAATAATGAAATAACCGCACTTTTCCCCCCCAAACCTCGTCAAGAGGCTGGGTGAGTTTTTAATTAGTGCTTCGTTTTCAATAAATCCGTATGTGTACGTGGCGCTGATTCTTTCCTGGATAAGGGAAAGATAATAATGAGAATCCTATTTTTCAGTCCCACACTAAAGGGATGCCTCGTATATTTAATCATGCTGTAGAAATCCTGGCAGCTTTCTCTGAGCCCAGCCTCTGCACTAATTACATTTCTAGATTTTAGTAAATTGAAAGGGAAAATGTAGGAACAAAATAATTAAAACCGAAGAGGAAGTGCATATTAAAAAGGAGAAGCTGTTTAAAATTCTTCCACACAGTGTTTCCAAGGACATCTACAGTCGTTGAATCAGATCCACACCAGATCAAAGCCCTTTGTACAGAGGCTGGTGGAACACATCTCAGGTGGGCGGGATGGTCCCCACAGCAGAATGGGAGCCTCATTGCGCCAGGCTACAGATGGGGTAGGACTCATGTCCTTCCAGATCTCTGGAGATTCAGAGCCAGCCTGGACAAGCTGCTAGCACAGATTCACTAGCCCTGAGGAGTCCCTTCCCAGGTGCCAGGCAGAATCTGACTACACCGTATTGATTAGCCCCAAGTGTGAGGTAGCTAAACTGTGCTGTCCCTGCCTCCAGATTCCTTTTTCTGCACCCCTTACCCCTCTATGATCCTCCCTCCAAGGAGCACCTTTTTTCTTTCTTCCTTGCCAACCTGTGAACTCTGAAGCGAAGAGAACAGGAACTGAATAGCCTCAGTGACACCAGGAGTCAGTTACTTGAACCGGGTTACCTGGTTACCTATGGGGCACTCTGAATTTTCACAAGGACCAAAAACCTTGCTGGCTTCAGCTAAAGGAATGAATGTTTGTTGAGGATGATGATGAGTGGAACCTAACTGGAAAGTTTCAAGCATCAGCCTACTAGGTGACAAAGGCCTTTTTTTTTTTTTTTTTTAAGCGTTTTGTTTTAAGCAAGGTAGGCCCAGTACTCACATGACGGTGGAAGTTAGGAGCTCCATTTCTTGATCATGTTGTCTGAAATACAGCTGGAGCAAGCTCTAGGAGCTTGGAGGGCGTTGTCTGTGATTCCTAGGACATTTTAAATTGTGGGATTGTAGGGTGTGCTTGTGTACTTGAAAGTGGAAGGCAGCCTGACACCGTCAGGGGTTTCTTTCCAAACCCCTGTGGCTTTGCTCATGGGCTCCCGGCCTTCCCTAATGAACAGACTCGGCGGCCACCTGGCGCCAGGACGCATGTGGCAAGAGACAAGTGAGCGCAGTCTCCTGGAGACAGTCCCACGGCAGCAAAGCTTCCGGAAGCTGTTCCCAAGGCAGAGCCCACACTTTATCACCCCATGACCTGCAGGTTCATCTGGCTGCTCTTTTGGGTCCAATGCCTCCGACATTTGAATGACTGTGTCTGTGTAATGACACTATCACAGTGCGGAAAAGAGACAACAGCTGCTCTGGGTTATTTGGCTTGATTCAGTAGGAACAATTTTTTTTAAAGTTTAAGCTAATGGGAAGGATTGTAGCAATAACAAATATCCCATCACTGTCATTAACACTCTAACATGAGGATGTCTTTTTTTTCCTCCCAGGGCCAAGATGCTGAGGCTTTCTGTCTTTTACTCAACTCAGGAGTCACTGGTGGCCCCTGGGAGCCAGGATGTGAGGCCGGCTGGGGACCCAGGTGTCCAAGATAACAAGTTGTCATTGAATCAGGTCCCTTTCAGTTAAGCCACCCACATGCCCACCTTCTCCCAAGAGGATGGTCCTTGGTTTTGTTTCCAAATGCCAAAATCTAAGTTACTTAAAAGTCTTTAGAATTGTCATAAAGTCCAAAAAATAGTTTACTGACACAAAGCTGTTCGGAAAAAGTGAGGGAATGCAAGCTCTTGGTAATCCATACACTTCCTGCAAATATCAATTGCTCTTGTTCAACGCCTTTATTGTTACGCTGCCCGCCCCAACCCTTCCCCCCCAACCCTTGGTAGGCCTCTATGTGGTCCTCGCACCTCCGCACAGCCTCCTGCGCGGGGCATGCCACCCCCTCCGTGCTCCCGCCTCTTTCTAGTCAGGCCCCTCCTTCCCCTCAAATCCTCCGGCCCAGGGGAGCCGGCGGGACGCACGCGCACTAAGGGAGGTAGGCGGAGTCTTGAGGAAGAGGGAGGAGGGGCAGGAGAACCCAGGGAGGGGAGAAGAGGGGCGGAGGCCGCGCGGGGTGGGGCCCGGCGGGTACGCGCTCGCTGCGTCGACGTGCTGACGCCATGACGCCCCGGCCGGTGTGTGTCGGTGTGTGTGTGTGTGTGAGTGTGCGCGTTCTGAGTGTGTGTGTATTTGTGTATCGGCGGTCCCGCAGGTCCCGGATGTTGCGGACAGTATGAAGCGAGCGCAGGGGTACGGGGACCAGCAGCTGTCGCCGCCGTTCTCAGGTGAGTGGGGGGAGGAGAGTCAAGGGAGAGGGTTGTCCTGTCGGAGTGTGGGGGGGGCGCCTCCCTTAAGAGGTGACTGACCCCCCCCCCCCCCCCCCCGCCACACACATACTCTTCTCTGTCCCATATCCCACAGCCTGGGTTACGTGGCCTGGGAATGCCAGAGCCTAATCAACCGTTCCTTCTCCCAATCCCAAGCATTCAGGAGACACAAATGCGCCCCCTGCCTTCAGCCCCCCCCATCATTTTCCCAGCCCCATCCCCCTTGCCAAATAGTGAGCTGTCGCCTGCGGCGAGATGGGTGACTGCGCATGCGCGAGTGTGAACGAGCTAGGGGTGCTTGTTCGCTGCCCCCGGGGCGCATGCGCATCGCTGTGTTGCAGGGACCTGCGGGATAAAGAGCCCCTTGACCACGCGCCCGCCTTCTGCCCAGACAGTGGGCTGCCAGAGAGCGCGCCTGTTGCTCCTCTCCAGAAGGGAGAGTTTAAATTATTTGGCGGACTTACTGACAAAGCAGGATTTGCATCTCGTGTTGCCCTAGAGACTCCCAGGCTACTAACGCCTTCCAGAGCCAACGTGCCCCACGCTGACCCTTCTTTTGAAACTGTCACTGCAAGTTCTAGTTCCAGCATTACTTTTCTTTCCTCCCACAGTCATGCTGTACTTTTAATACAAACATCCCCTAAACTTAGGAGTAGGTGCCCCAACCCATTCAGTTATTCTGGCAGGGGATTTTGGTGGCTTTTCTAAGGAGGACTAAGGGTCACAAAAAAGAAAGGGGACTACCTTTTAGTAAGATTCTTAATTATTATCGTAGAACTAGATGAGGTAGAGATAAAGAACACCGTGTAAGGCTTAGAGCAGTAACTAAATCAAGACATCAGGGTTCTCATCTCTAGCCCTCCTACTTCTTGTGACCTATTTGCCTCTTTTTTTGTAAAAGATCTTCCTTTAAAGAAAAAAAAAGGATCTTCCTTAGCACTTTCGTTTTAGCTGTACATTATTGATGCTCTGTGAACATCACACGAAAACAAAAGCAATCTGAAACTACTAGTGGAGGATAACTTACCCAGTGGAGGTTTTAACTTTAAGCAGTGGGAGTGATGTTTCTTGCCCATTTGCAAATAAGGAAGAGCAGTGTAAAATAAGGAACTCTAAAGTACCGTAGTATTTCAGTGATCTAGGACCTAGGTTTCAGTTGGCAGATTATTCATGGTCCTTAATTTGCTGCTGTATGGCCACTCTTGGATACTTGGATGCTTCTTCCCTCTGGCATCAGAACAGGGTGAGGAAATGATGAATTCTTACAAACAGAAGGTTTGCTGAATAGCAATGAAATGAGTAGCTGAATTGTTGGGCGGGGGGACAGCTTTTTGTGTGTTTTTCAGTTATCTTTGCCAGACCTATTTCCTATCTGGATAACTGAGGATGGGTGATATTAGTAAGCCTTATTTTCTATTTTCTTCCTTTTGTGTTCTTTGGTATTCTAGCAAGACTTTTTTGGCTGCCATTCTTAACTGTAGGACCTTATATTTTGAGGCCTTAAAGTGTGTGTGTGTGTGTGTGTGTGTGTGTATATATAATATATATATATATATATATATATATATATTTCACTTCCCCTTTTAACCCTGGCTTTGGCAAGGTTCAGCTGTCTTTTGTGCTGTTTTCTGTTGCCATGGTTACAGTGGGAGCCAAGAGATGACACAGAAGCAGCACAGGAATTTGGGGGGCATATATCATCCTGTTTCCTGGAAAGATCTGGAGACTCATCTTGTTTTCCTTGTGTGAAGACTAAGGAGTATAAGTTACCGTGACAGCTCCACACTTAGGGTGGGGATGGTTGGTGTCCACTGGCACTTTGGTGACTTCTGTTAGAGCTCTTAATAGTGGTTAGTGAACTGGAAGATGTTCAGTGTTGCCTATATCCAGACTTGCATCAGGTTCTGGTGCAAGTGAAATAAAACTATTGAGGTAATAAGGAGCCATTTCTCAGGAGGTTTCTGTCATCTGTGATCCTTTGTTTTTATCTGGAAGCATTTCATCTGGTTGAATTTACTGAAGCCTTATTCAGGAATTTTTATGGTGTGAAGGCATGATTGCTTTTAGGATTAAGATGAGTATTCTCACTTTGTATTGGTGCAGAGCCACGTTTAAAAAGTCTCTTTAAAATGGGTAACACGGGCACCTGGGTGGCTCAGTCGTTAAGCGTCTGCCTTTGGCTCAGGTCATGATCCCAGGGCCTGGGATCGAGCCCTGCATCAGGCTTCCTGCTTGGTGGGAGGCCTGCTTCTCCCTCTCCCACTCCCCCTGCTTGTGTTCCCTCTCTCGCTGTGTCTTTCTCTGTCAAATGAATAAAATCTTAAAATGGGTAACACATGGGTCGCCTGGGTGGCACAGTCGGTTGAGCATCCCACTCTTGGTTTTGGCTCAGGTCGTGATCTCAGGGTCCTGAGATCGAGCCCCGTGTAGGGCCCTGCACTCAGCTCAGAGTCTGCTAAGACTCTCTCCCTTCCCCCACCATGCACTCTCTCTCGCTCGCTCTCTAAAATAAATCGTTAAAAAAATAAGATGGGTAACACACATGAAACAAAATTCAAAAGGTACACAGAGAGAAAAATCTTTCTTCTCTGTCCTCTTTTCATCCGTCTAGTTAAACCCTCCTAAGCCCTCTGCAAAGGAAACTGTTGTTACCCGTATCTTGTTGACCCTTCCAGAGATAGTCAGTGCTTTTACAAGCATATACAATTATGTACCCTTTTAAGTTTTTGTATATATTTACTGTTTTACACAAACGGTAAGATACTGTAGCCATTATTCTGCACTTTGCTTTTTTCACTTAGTATATCCTGGCCATCATTCCATACAGTAATAGAATACCTCTTCCTTTTTGAAAGATGACAGATAGTCCCTTATACAGATGTACCATCATTCAGCCAGCTCTTATTATTGGATACTTAGGTTGTTTGCAGTGCTACCATTAATTCTTTGTATGTACTTTCTAGGTACATGGGTATCTTTTGGATAAATTCCTAGTGGAAGTGCTGGATCAGAGGATATATGCATTTTTAATGCTGTTAGATACTGCCGAATTGCTTGCCATAGAGGTGGTATGAATTTATATTCCTGCCAGCAGTGTTGTGAGTCTGCCTCTTTCCTCACCAGTACTGTATTATCAAAATGTTTTTTTTATCTTTGTACAGTCTTTTATCTAAGATTTTAAATTCATTATGTAGCTTGTTAAGCTTCATTACAACCCAGGAGTTGTGGATAAATACCATCAACTGTTTTGCAGATGGGAGTGGTGGTGGAAGATAGTGTTCGACTGAAGAGTAATGTCATGAGACTAAAGTCATATGCCTGGGTAACACAGCAAATCCATGACACTTCTCAGAAGACATATAAAACTTATGCTTCCTTTAACTCTTAGATGCTAGTTTCTCTATGCAAAATTCTGTAAGCCCGTAAGTGAGGTTTTGTGATCTCCTTTTGATAGCTTTGACTCAAAATTGTTTGTACAAGTGAACTGCCATTCTGTTGAGGAATTGAAAAGCTAACCCAGTTAGTTAAAGGTGCTTTACTGAGTGCTGTCACAAGATATTGGTACTAGTACTTTTTAAAAGTCTGCTGATTGTAGAATATTTCACTATGAGCTGTGAGGAAATGGAAAAGAATTTAAAAATGCATGGGCCTGAAGGAGCTCACAGTCTTGTTAGAAAACCAAATCTACTGAGTATGTGAAATGGAGAACAGTTAGAATGGGAACGTAATACACTGTGTTCCATGTTGAGAGGACTTTGTAAGAGAGTGATAAGGTTTAGAGGAGAGTTCCCTTTGGGAGGCCTTTCTGGAGGAAGTGCATTTTGAGCCCTTCCCCACCCCCCCTTTTACAACTGTTTATGTAAAACATTTTAAAAATACAGAAAAATTCAAAGAATAGTACAATTATCACCTTTATACCAATTAGCCCCTAGATTCCATAATTTACATTTTGCTATATTTGCTTTATGTATATATGTGCATGTATGTTTATATAATACATAAATTGTCATATTGCAGACATCATAACATCTTAATACTTTCATACTTTAAATACTTTAGATGCATCTTCTTAAAGATATTGTTTTGCTTAATTGTTCTTAGGATATATTGTTAAGGGAATTAACAGTAATTTCATAAAAACCATCTAATATCCAGTTGAAGTTCAGATTTTTCTTAAAACATGTATCTTTAGTCTTTTTAAATCTAGAGCAGTTTATTTAAATCTAGAGCCACAAGAAATTGCCTTTATGAAGAGACCAAGCCATTTGTCTTGTAGAATATATCACTTCTGGAATTTTCTGTTTATTTCTTCACAGTTTCATTTAATTTGTTCCTTTATGCCCGTATTTCCTATAAACTGGCATTTAAGTCTATGGTCTGATTAGATTCAGATTAAATACTTTTGGTAAGAATTCTTCATAGGTGTTGCTCTGTGCCTCATATTGGGTCACGATAAGAGAAATAATGTCATAATATCCCATTATTAATGATGTTTAGTTTGTTTGATAATTTGTTTAAAATGATAAATACCATATCTCCAGTGTAGACATTTTTTTTCCCTTTGTAGTTAGGAGGTAATCTGTAGAGTGGTGACACTTTGGAATTATATTATTCTACTTCTCCAGCAGTCTGTCACCTAATGATAGTGATCCTTGTCTGAATCTTGTTGCAAAATGATAATTTTCTAATTCTGCTATTCCTTTTACATTAGCTTTCAATCTTCTGTAAAGATTTCTCTCATCAGTTAGGAATAATTATAATTTCTATCAAAAGTTAGGTAAATTCTTAATTTTCCTTTTAACAATTTCCTGAGTAAGGAGATGGTATAATAATCACCTCGAATGGTGGCAAATGATTTGTTTGTTTTTCTCACTTTCTTTGCTTTAGTATCATTGTAAATTCATGGGCCTTAATTTATTCTACATGTTACCAACAATTACAGACATTTTTTGAAGCTC